AGTACTTTAAAGCACATAAATTAGTTACCCGGGCAATTGAATCAATTAGCCAATCAGATGAATGTCGGCCTATGACTTTTATAGTAATAAGTAATCTTCGGTAATCTCACTAAATATCACGTGATAAAATTATATATGTAGATCTGTAGATCAATTAATTATCACCTTCAAAACGTTAAAATCGATTTACGGATTGCAGACAAGATACATTCTTGATATGCGTTTTATTTAAACTAAGGTGGGTAAGTTCGCGTTGGCCTGATTAAAAATTTGTCTGACATTTTCATATAGCAGTAAATATTTATAATAATTTGTAACATTAAATATCATCTAAGTAAGGCATCCGTAATTAAGATTTGATCCAGGTATAATTCAACTAAAATTTCTAAATCTATATATATTAAGATTATTAATACTGTTAATTTTGATAATATTCACTTAATTTCATAACTTTAAATACCTATTAGGCTGACATTCCAGCATCAGTAAAAATCGTACCAGATAAGGATAAGAAAGTAAGATTTAAATAAAATAATGTTACTTTCAATAACTCAAAATAATTAATAATAATTAATGAAAATGAAAATTCAATGTTTAAATCAATCTCTTAGCTCCTGCAAGATACATTGCTCCCAATCAGATACATTTATAAAACCAGTTAGGTCCATTTTTACCAATGACAAATCTATAAAGAGGTATTATATGATTAAAATCACTTTAAAAAAAAGTAATCCCTAAAACCAACGAAAATTCACCAGAAAATTCTTTCGTAATTAATGAAAATAAGTCATTTGAACTTTATAAACCGGCTTCTATTAAAATAATAATTAATGTTTACAATCAATTATAAGTTATAAAAAATTTTAGTTCAACCCTCAGATGATGTGTCTCTATAGCGAAGATTTCACGTGGTATATTGTCTACTTATATGATTGCAAAATTCTTTAATTAGTTCATGCAAAATTAATTGGTTTTCATAACCCGGCCGGGTCAAAATTTGCTGGGACAACTAAAAATTTTTCTGATGTCTGAATCGATAAGTTACAGAATGGATTCAATAAGCAACCGACTTTTACCGAACTCAGTAACTTATCGATTTGGTATCGGTAATTTTTTCAGTTGTCCCAAGAATTTGTGAACATCTGTAATAACCAAGTGGATTTTATAAAAATATTTTTATATAAACTTTATAAAATTTTATATATGAAAATTAAAAAAAAAAGGTCGGTCGGCATGTCTATTTAAAAGTTTATGTCAATGTTCGAAAACCAAGGAATTGAAATTGTGCGGCCTTATTATTATTATTATTTCTTTTTTTATAAATTATAGCTTAAAATGTCAATTCGATATTTCTTCAGTATGTGAAAGCGTTAATCAGGTTTAATCGTACTAAATAATAAAATTTTCAAAAATTTATACTGTTAGTCGAACAATCAAAACTTACATATTAACAAAAATCCTCAAGCGTAACCTTTTCTCTGGTACATTATAAATATCGTAAAAATTTCTAGATAATTTCTTGTTTCGATAATGAGTTAAATAATCTTAAAATGAATCTATTTTAATAATATCTTTAGATATCGTAGTGGTTCTAATCCAAAGCTTCAATTTTTGTTCGTGTAACATGAAAATATACAATACGTATGTAGTTTGGTTTTATGCACGTGCAGCAATTGGGCTGAATATAGTGCCATAAAAATTACAGGTCTAATAACGACGAAACTATGAACTTTAAATAAATTTAGAAAAAAATCATGTCGATCAAGCGCCCTTGCACGATTATATAATCATTCCTTTATGTTAAACAAATGTACAAAGATGCTAGATTGAAAAGAGATTTTCTTTAGATGACATGATCTTAATTTTGTTCTTTAAAATTAAATATTCAATACAAAATGCTGTGATGATTATTTACACTTGAATATTCGAATAATGAGATCAAAATTTTTATAATAAAATCGAATAATGATATCAAAATTATTATAATAAAATCGAATCATTCGATTCTTAGCAGTATTATCAAGATCGAATGACCATTATTCATTATGAAATTTCTATACCTATTTGCGACTTGCCAATAACCTACCTGCCGTTATGGCAGGTCTTTTGCTTTTGCTTTATCTACTGTAGATATATGACTATCGTTTAAATTAAAACTACAGACATTAAAACTTCAAATAATACGTATACCGTAGTGGAATATAGAAAATCGCTATCCGGATTTTATTTAACGTAAAGAGATAAGTAATTTCCAAATATCTGCACATATGGACCATCTTTCTGTCTAAACATTATAACTGTCATAACTGTCATCTCTATTTCTGCCAAGTCGGCGATCAGAAAAACCTGAAATTAGTGTGGGAAAAAACCCGTTTCCCTTATAATCCTAACAATAAATGCGTCAATACAATGTGCATAAATAATAAATCTATGCTAGTCGCATTACGTATAAATTTCCAAAAAAATCCACATAAATATACAACCATTCCGCGTTCAATTTGAGACTTCGATATCTTCGTTCTGGGCAGCTTACGAAAATCGTAAGATGAAATCATTACTCCCATATTAAAATCTCAATTTTTTTTTTTAGATACTATAGTTTAGTCTACATTTAAATAACTTGATAGAATTTCAAAGTTTATCAATCAAGTTTATTCTGTTTCTTGTCTGAATAAATCGTCTCTATGTTATAATGGTATTCAGCAAGTTGAGACTACGGTTACAGCAGAATAGTATGATTCCATTGCTTTGCAAATAAACTATGTTGCCATAATTATATGATTTAACGAAAAACTTTTTATTATGAATTCGTTCAAAATAATAGTATCTAAGAACAACTCACTTAATCCGAATTAAAAACTATTTTTTGGCATTTGCTAAGATAATGTATAGCGTTGCTTTTAAATATATAAGCTTTGTCAAATATATAAACTATAGATACTATATAAACTAATAATGGATTATTATTTGATAACTGTAAAGAAAAGGCTTTAAAGTTTATAATTATTGGAATTAATGCACAAACATTTTAAAATAATTAAATTCGATCACTAGTTACGAAAAAAAAGTTACGGTGCGTAATTTATGATTATATCATTATACTATTACTACAATATAACAGCGCTTAGACAAATTATGATTTACAACTATAACGATTAAGTTTTGGTACAGTATATCTAATGCTTCGAGTTTCGCCTGAGTCTATCTATTCTTAAAGGTTAAATTTCAAACTCATACCTGTAAATCAAATCAATCATAAATTTATCATAAATTAAGCCTGCCATAATTATCGGAAAATGAATGCCGCCGCAAAATTTCTTGTGTATATATATATCACGAAAATAGATAATTATATTAAAAAATATATTATGAACCAAATACGGGTAACTTTGTAGGAAGAATTTTAAAAGAACAAATCTTTAATTTTTCAATTGTAGTGATCCAATCATTTAAATAATCGCCTCAATTTTATATTAACGTCATTAGGTGATAAATACATGCGTAGTAAATAAAGTCATCGAATTACGTAATTAAACAAATCTTTTTAGGAGATCGTCACTAAAACATCCTCATTTAAGAAATGTTGATACTATAAATGTCATTTAACGGACTTGTCCTCGGTTGCGTTCCGTTCACTTCTACCAATTCTGAAATTTCAATATTTATTGACGATTAATATTTAAAATTGAAATTGAAAGTTAATTTATACTCTAATCACGAATAACAAAAAAAATGTCTAGTAATCAACAAGGCAACGATGTCATCTTGGCTCAATTACTTTCTTTTGGCTTTGACGAATGGATATGCCAAAGGGCAGTAACTCGTACTAAAACTGTGGAAGAAGCTACTGAATGGTTAGTCTCTATTTAATATTACAATTATATGATGTTAAAAATTTACTTAATATCATCATATAATTCAGGATTTTGAATACATTGGATGAAAATTCTGGTAACAGAGCAACTTCAAATAATACTCCAGTACTGCGCCTATCCGAATCTTCAGAAAGAGTTTCTGCACCAATGATGGTTGATACTGAAAGGTCTTCATCAACGGCTGTGGGTAAATTTACTACTTTATTTCGTTTTTTTTATTAAATTTTAAATGACCAATTATTATGACTTTTTGATTTTCAGTCTAGTTCTACCTCAAACCCAATGGTCGTATCACGCTATTCAACACCTGATGATGATGATGATGACTATACTAAGGAGTCGAAAGCAAAAGCCGCAAAGGCTGCTGAAGAAATGAAGAGATTAAAGCTTTTAGAGAGAGAGGCTCGTAAAAAAACATTATTAGCAATTAAAGAGGATCGTGAAAATTTGAAACTGCGAAAGATATCCCATAAAGTTGAAAGTAGTAGTTCCGCAAGTTCTTATGCCATCTCTACTCCTCTACAAAAAACTGAACAATCCGATTCAACTCTTATTCAGATTCGTTTATCAACTGGTCAGGCAATACGTCAAAAATTTAATACTACTGCTCTTGTATCTGACCTCTTTAATTGGGTTGTTAGTAAGAATGAACCAAGCAAAAAGTTTCAATTGTTGTTACCTTTTCCACGAAAGGTGTTTGGTGATGATGAGATTGGTTCGACACTTGCCGATGCTGGTTTAGTTCCAAATGCTTCACTGAACGTAGTAAAGTTAGATGTACCTTCTATTACTGCGCAATCTCCGATAAGCAGAGTTACAAGTTCTGTCACTGAAGATGATTCAAGTGATGACGATGATGACGATGATGACAATAGCATAAGACAATCGTTACCAATTGTTCCAAATCCACTTAATGGACCGCAAGGGCCTCCCTTAAATTTACCACAGCAGTTACCTCCTCCAATACCTGTACCACAAGGAATTCCTCCAAATTTACCACAACAATTTCCTCCTCCGATACCTGCTCAACCAGGAAATCCTGCCAATGTACTTCCAATTCAACCAGGAATTCCGCCTACTGTGCATCCTCCTATGCCTGTCCAACCAGGAAATCCATTTAATGCTCCTCCTCTAGCACCTGGTCGATTTCCTCCAAACATGGGGTTAAACCATCGTATGCTTGCCAGACCGTTAGCATTTTCTGGTACAGGTTTTCGTTTAACAAATGATCAACCAATTTTGCAGCAGCAGGATTCAGACGATGATTATGATGGTAATATTTATATTAAATGTAAATTAGTTTAAAATTTATGAATGCTTTTTAAATCATATTCATTATCATAGATGAAGAAAAAAGGCAACGTATTGCTGAAGCTGTACAGGCACGAGTACGTGCAGAGGATTCTGCTTCAGTTAATGATTCGCAGCATGTAAAACATGGTATTAGACGTGAAGTTGGCACTTTAAGGTCAAGATGCGCATATTGTGTTGCAGGTAATTCTATAATTCTTTTGAAGCTTAATGGTTTAATTTCTGTAAAATTAAATACATTAATTACTAATATGAATATGATTAATAGTTCTCCTTACATCGTCTACTTCTATGAGAACTCTACAATCTCTTAGTAACGTGTCTGCTGATGTTGGTGAATTATTAGTTAATGAATTGATAAAACTTGACAAGTAAATTCATTTTTGAATTTGTTCTTGGATCTATTAATTTTTTCTTTTATTACTCACTCTATAATTCTTTACATAAAAACTTTTATAGGCTCGATGGGCTTACATTCAAGAGATTTACAAACTGGTTTGTATTATTTATTTTTTCATCAAATATTATTCAAATATTGAGTATCATTTTAATATTAATTACGTAAAAATTAATGGCTTAATTGTTCATTATCTTTAGCCATTTGCAGAATATCATACTAGACAACTATTTCAAGGCGAGTGATTCCTTATTGGAAATAATTAGCGATACCCAAAGTTCATCTGTAACTAAGGTCAGCTTACGTAATTGTGAGTTGATAACTGATAATGGGTTCAGCTGTTTACAAGGTAAAAAAAAAAAAGTTTTTTTTTAACGTTTTAAAATAAAAGTGGTCTATTTGTTAATATTATTGTCATGTAAAATTGCAGATTTACATTATCTCGAATATCTTGATGTTATGAGCTGTCGAATTCGAGATCATACCTTACCTTACTTTAAAGGTTTGATTATTGATTTTTTTTCAGTGTAGGCATTGCTTTACAAAAACAAGTACTCATGCATGCAATTATACAAAATTTTAGACTTTGGTGAATTAAGAACATTAAATCTATCAAAGACAAAGGTGACTATCAATGGTCTGCGTACTCTTTTCGCGAGCTGCGCCTTTGCATCTACATTAGAAGACTTAAACTTGTCATACTGTCCTGGGGTTGGGGGAAAGACTGTCTTCGCGGACCTGCAACGTAAATATATTGGATAAATTTTTAATGAGAATTTTTATAATTTAAACCTAATAATATTTTTTTCTATTTAGCATTGCAGAATCTTCGACGTCTCAATCTTGACAGTGTACAATTAACACCTCCACTTGTACCAGTAAAACCTTCTAGTTTTCGACAATTGGAAATGTTGGATTTATCTAGAACACGACTCTGTGACCAAGATGTGATGAAAATTATATGCCAATTTAAAAATATGGTTGAGCTTATATTGATAGAAACAATTGGCATTGGTCAATTTGGATTGAAATGGATAGCAAAAGGTAAAAAAGTGATCACCTTGTAATTTTATTTAGTAATAATTATATTTAAAAGTCAACATTATATATTTGTAGAGTTCAAGTCTCTTAATTACATTAATTTCCCGAATCGAGAGGAAGAATTGGATGACATATTACAAGACTTTTCTGGTAAATCTTAGTTGATTTTAGGAATTAATTTTTTTAAAGTGGCTTTAATCTTATTATATATTATTTTTTTTTATAGAATTACCGTTGGTAAAAATGGACTTGACCGGTTTTATAAATGTAACTGATTCGGGAGTTATGCATCTTGCAGCAGCTAAGAGGTTAGCTTTAAACAATAATTTTTTATTTCATTAATTATTTCAAGTTATTGAAAGTGACATATTTTATTTTAGCCTTACTTTCTTATCCTTGTCTGGTACGAAAGTGACTGATGTTGGAATGTCAGCCCTAAAAGGTATTTAATACATGTATTTTATATGGTTATTATTATCAAATTTACAATTATTAATATCTTTATACATTTACACATATAGACTTGGAAAATTTAGTTGAATTATATCTTGATCGAACCTTAATTACGGATGCTGGTGTTGTTTATCTAGACGGTATTGCATTCATAATACATTTTATTACAAATATTTACTGCAATTAGAAAATCCCATTAATATCCAGATAAAATTTTTTAATCAGACCTACGCGAGCTTACCCACCTTAGTTTAAATAAAACGCGTATCAAGAATACATCATTGTCTACAATCCGTAAATCTACGTTTGCAAATAGGAAATTAAAATATCTCGACGTTGGATATACGCGCATTACTGATAAAGGAGTAAGAGAATTAAGAGGTAAATTTTTTTTTTTTACAAATTTACGATTTTCTCGTAAACAATTATGACGCTTTCATTTATAATTGATATTATATTTATATAGGCTTACCGCATTTGTCATTCTTGAATTTGGATTTCACTAAAGTATCTTTGTCATGCCGTAATATTTTAGCTGGTAAGAAAACATCAAACTTCTAAATCACTTGTGTAAGAATTTTATGACATAAAATTTTAAACAAGCTTTTTTTTTTTTTATTCTTTAGATATTCCTTCACTTCAGCCAGTTCGTCTTAATGGAATTACCAAAGAAGTTTGTGAGGATGATTATTATGATATTTAAAAAAAAAAGTCCTAAATTTTTAAATTGAAATTTATGTTACGTGAAAGTGTACAATTGCTAAACATATATTTAATAAAGTTCTGAGCATTAAAATCGAAATTTCAAAACCTTTCTGTAAATAAAATACAGTATATTGGCGATGATCATATTTACAAAGTAGCTTTTGCTATTCACTATTTGTAGCTGTCTTTATCAATAAATTTCGATAAGCTTACTATCATATACAGTCCGCCCTCCATACAGTCACTCCCATACAGTCACACCCTCTTTATAAGCACACTAATTTTTAGAACTATATAAGAAATTTGACCTCTATACGGGCACAATTTCTTATAAGCACAGAATTTCTCGGAACCAAGGGCGTGGCTGTAGAGAGGTTATACTATAATGTAGATTTTTTTTTGCAGGGTAATTTCCAAAAATCATTAATGTATAAGCTATATCAAAACAGCTGCGGGCTACGATTCATTGGTAAATTTTGGGGTTGTTACACTAAAATACTGTACAAATATGCATGCAGGCAGATATGAAAAATTTTCAAATTATGTTGTTGATGCGATATATAAGTAACTAATCAAAAACGTATTTATTTATTGATGTTACTTTTGTACCACTTTGACTAGGTATTAAATGTCTGCCGCACTACAAACAATAAAATTTACATTTCATTTAGGCATAAAAAATTTTTCCTACTTTAAAAGGAATGGACTCTAAAAAACTTCGTACACTTGGCTACAATTATCAACATGGTATTGGTGTTGAGAAAGACGAAAAGAAGGCTTTTGAATATTATATGAGAGCAGTTGAGTCAGGAAATACGAATGCGATGAATGATGTTGGCATTTGTTATTATTATGGAATTGGAGTAAATAAAAATTACCAGAAAACATTTGAATATTGGAAGAGATCTGCTGATTTGGGTGATGATCGTGCAGTGCATAACGTTGGTCTTTGTTATGAATATGGACGTGGAGTTGATCGAGATTATAGTAAAGCATTTGAATACTATAAAAAATCTGCTAATATTGGTTCTAAAGCAGCAATGTGGAATGTTGCTCGATGTTATCGAAACGGTGTTGGTACAAAGAGAGATATTCAAAGTGCAAATTATTGGTTCAAAAAACATAGAAGTCTTTTGGAAACTAATAAATCACCTGATCATATCAATCCTGAACTTAAGAAAATATTAGACGATGATAGATTTAAATTATCATGGATTGACTATAATGAGTTCAAAGATATCAAAGAAAAGGGAAAGGGAGGGTTTGCAACTATATATCATGCACGTTGGTACGATAGAATTAATTGTGAGTGGAAATATGGCGCACTTAAAGTGATTCGTGATTCAACCAAAAATGAGCAAGAATTTATCCAGGAATTGAAAAATCACTGCGAAATTGGATACGAGAATCCTTCATTCTTGGGATGTAGGGGAGTATCAAGAAATAATTATGGTGATTATATTATTGTTATGGATTATGCATTAAAAGGTTCGCTACGGCAAAATCTTGTACAAGTATCGCAATTGGAATGGAAAGATAAATTAGGCATCTTGTACTATATAGCTTTTGATCTCGAGTCGATTCATTCGCAGGAACTCGTTCATAGAGATTTACATAGCGGAAATATTTTGCAGGGAAATAGCTTGTATGATGCGTATATTGCTGATCTTGGACTTTCAAAAGAAGTAAAGGATGGAAAAATTTGTGGAATTCTACCATACATAGCACCTGAAGTTTTGACGGATAAACCGTATACTCAAGCATCAGATATTTACAGTCTTGGAGTTATCGCGACAGAGATTTCGACTGGACAAAGAGCATTTGATGGAATTCCGTTTAATGGTGATCTTGTATCAAGAATTATCGAAGGATTAAGACCTAGATGTTTAGGACCAGATTGTTATATCAAATTAGTTATGAAATGTATGGATAAAGATTCTAATAAACGACCTACTGCAACAGAAATTAAGGAAATAATCACTCGTTGGTTAGATGAAATAGATCAGGAAGATGATAATGAAATCAAAAAGCAATTTTTAGAAGCTAATAAGATTAAGCCAGAACAGATTAAGCAAATACATTCTCAAAACACATATACCAGCACAATATTTGATACTCAAAATTTTTCCGAATATACTAGAGCAGTAAGCAAATTATCAAATTTAGATTTAAATTAAATTATATATTATATTTGTTTATGTAATGTGTCTTGGGAAGGTGCAGCTATGGTCAATTTTTTTAGTTATCAAAAAAATGACCTTACGGTACATAATACTGTAAGGTCATTTTCAAGGCAAAGACCCATACCTTATCCAATTATATTCTAGAGATAAATATTTTCTTTTCATTTAATCTATAAATATAGAATATTATTCTTATCATTTGTATTTTGGTGGTTTGTTTTTTAGAAAGTAAGAAATCTTTAAATCAATTTATCTTTTTTTTTTTTTGAATCTTTATCTCAAACACTCTCTGAAATCTTTACTTACATTTAACTTACAAAATATTTGAATCTAAAAATAATTAAGGATTGCCAATATGCAAAATTTCATAAGATAGTAGTTTTAATAATATATATCTATATATGTATCTAATTGTAGACTAAAAGTAAATCTGAATTTCTATTTTTTGAAATTGAATCTGAATCCACTCTTAACAATCACCAACCATACCAACCAAACTTAAGATACACGAGCATTTCAAACGGTAAAAATGCTTACTTCTATAATTCTTAGGCGAAACCAGTGTATAAAATCAACTCAAAAACATGTGAATGTTGTGCACAGTGCACATTAAATTTATGTGAACAAATTTAAAAATTAGTGCACATAAATTTTTATAATATAATAAAAATATGTGCACAAATTTAAAATATGTACCCTATAAAAATTATTAAACAAGTATGATCTGATTTTGTCTTTTTATTTAAAAAATAATTGGTTTATTAGTTAGTTACAATATTTAAACTATATATTGTATAGGCCAAAATTATTATTAAATATTATTATCTTATTTGAAGATTTTTATTTCTAATTAATATTTCAATTTTATTTTTGATTAATGTTTAGATTTTTATTTATAGCTAAGTTTAAATTTAAAAGCTGAAGCCAAAATCTGATTATTTTTTTTTAGTATTATTTATTCATATAATTTAAATATTTTTGATTGTATTAAAGCTATAATATCTTAAACACCAGAATTGAAATAAACAAAGTGTATATTATATATTGCAATTTGTGCACCTTATGACTGGTATTTTTTGTTACCACTTTATAATAGAATACAATTAAAATTTTTAAATTTCTTATATATTTGCACATATACAAATAAAGATTTGAATTATTTGTAGCCTGAAAATCACAAAACTCATTATTAAGTGCAAATATATATATTTTTTTAAGAGTAAACTCAATTGTTTGAAAAATTTTATTAATCATTATAAATTTTGTATTACAATGTTTAATGTTAACTCTGACAACATTAGAACTAATTTATCCTCAAGTTATACTCTACTTAAAAATTTATCTTTACAAATATTTAACTAGTGTTTTATGCTACAGAATTTACATTATTTCACATAATTTATATATTCTTCACATTTCTCACATCATGAAGTATATTTATTTATAAACTTACATAGTTCTATAAAGTTATATAAATGGTATATATAATTTTATATAAATTTACAAACTCAATATAGACTTATATAGTTAAAATTTTTAGATATAATTTATTATAATATTTATATATGATTTATTTATTATTTATATAAATATAAAATTTATGTAAACTTTATTTACATCTATATAAAATAATTTAATTTTCTTTGGCTATTTCTCAAAAGTAACTAAAGTAATTAGTGTTTGATATACCAAGTATATATATATATTTGGATATTAAGGTGACTACTCATAGTCTCTGGCACTTTATTAGTTCAGGCAGATAGTTAATGTTCAAAGATATAGACCACATGTTATATCAGTATTATGAAAGTACAACTAGTCACACATACAACTTTTGATTGCCTAATTAAGTAGTTTGCCCAAAGTGTTAGTACTATGCTAGAGGTTTTACACTAGATGTCATACTTATAGCCTAACTAGAAAGCTATCTAATTAAACTTTCTAGCTTTTACCAGTACTACATGTTTCCTTCTAATATGTCCCTTTTTATAAAGACAATTTACTATTTAAGATGCCAAGACTTTAGCCAACAACAAAAGGCATTTATCTTGGTGATAAAGAAGCTAACAATTATCAGGTGATTTTCTAGGGAGAGAGTCAAAAAAATTGAAATTTTATATATAAGACCTGATCAATTATACAATTATACATTAAAAACTAGGGAGAGGGTAAGATAAAAAAAAATCAGATAATAAATAACACTGCCCTAAACCTAACAGTGTTGTACAGATCCCATACATATATTCATCTGCATGTTTAATAACTTTTTTCTAACTAGTACATGTTGTATTGCTACCAATAGATTTGTATCTCAAGTCAACTTTTTGGGTGCTGCCATAACCCAATTTGTATCTCAAATCACAATCTTCCTAATTAGTCATCCATTATTTATTTCTACTCTTGCAAAGTTCACAACAACCCCAGTACCCCAATCTAACTATCTTTTTACTTGGATTCTTAATCAGTTCCTCCTTTACTTCTAGCTAGCAACTCAGAAGAGTTGATCTGCCCAGGCTTTAGGTGCCTGAAGGATGCCTGGAGCATATGCTCTTTTTCTCCAGTGCATCTAGTACCTGGCAGTTCAGCTAATGTGTCTCTACTAAAGGACCTGTTGCTCAGTTCACTAATCTCAGCCCCGATTCAAATTTAGCTATCTTGTAGTATCATCAAAAATCACTGCTACTTTCAACTTAGGACTTCGCAAATAGCTTTTTGTACTAAAGAACAATTCCCAAAATTTATATAATTATGGATTTATCGAGTGTTTAGATTACTCTAAACTAGTTTGCATTCCTTTGTAGTTCTTGGGTTTTTTTAGTTGTACAAATACCAGCAGATTTTTCAGATTCACTCATTAGTGCAACTCAAGTTATAGATTCTTAATTCTAGATCTGATCATCTTATACAGGTTACTATACTACAAGCTTATTTTTCAAAATTGTCAACTATGGGATTCAAGCTCTAGACTTGCCACTTGAAGAGAGTGATGACTAGACCACTTCATTAAGCTGCCACATCTTCTCCACTATGTATATTTATTTGTAAGATTTTATTAAAATATATTTGATTTACTATCTAATATTAAAAAAAATCTCTATATTTTAAAAAATTTTTGATATTCTAAATTTAAACCTGTTAAAAAAATACAAATGCACCTTAATACTCTATACCAGTAGCCTGGTGCCAATGTGCCAGACATGGGCATTTGCAGATCCCTAATTTCTTTTTCCTGCCCTGCCTGTTGAATATTTTTTCACCACCTGATTTTGGTAACTCCTAACTTAAGTAATTCTAATTCACTTAAGTTCTTAATACTATTTATAGTTATATTCTTTTCTTCAAATGCTTTTATTAAATTCTTATAAGCTCCATTACTATTATGATTTCTATCTAATGCTTCAAAAAATTCTCAAAGGCTTGAAATTGAACCTGGATATGTTACTGCAAGTGGCAACTACAATTGTAATATTACTGCAAGTAGCAACTGCAATTGTAATGTTACTGCAGGTAGCAACTGCAATTGTGATGTTACTGCAGATGGCGACTGTAATTGTGATATTACTGCAGGTAGTGACTAAATCGGGATATTTGTTTAATAGTATTAGTTATACCAAAAGTCAGATATGAAGGTGGCATTTCAATAGTGGTAAGATTATTTTTTTACAAATAAAAATATTTATTTAACTTAGAGAAATAGTATTTTCATGCTCTTGTATAACATGCATATACTGAGATACAATCAAAATACCAAAATATATACAAAAATATTAGTTTTTTAATACTTACTACACCCCGTGCCCACAAATATAAATGTGTAGATATTAATTGAAGATATTTATTACTTTCAATATAGCAAGGTGTAGTGTGAATATTGTATTGATACTTAGATCTAAGTTGCGAGATAATGCTAGCTAGTTTGATTTTATTAGATGAAAGTTTTGATTCCTTTGGTACAGGATTTACTTTTAATTTCTTGCTTTTTGTTTTTGGTGTCTCTTTATCCAAATCACTTTGTACTTTGATTAAATTTTATAAATATATTGATATATATTGTTAAAAATATATAATATATATATATTATAATACAGTATACATATAGTATAAAATTAAATATACCTTAAATTTTTTTTTATTAGGTAATTTTAGCATAATATTTAATATTATATATTTGCCTTCTAATTTTTAGCATTTTTGATATTCAATAATAAAAGCATTATAATTATCATCTTTATTAAATGCCATCACTTGTTTGCGACCATTGATTTTATAGAAGACTTAAATAATATCTTTATCAAAATTGTTATTGGTGCGTTGTTGAATATGCTTAATTAAATTATATTAGAAAATATTCAAGTTGTTAAACTCAAATGTGAACTATTTTGCTAGCATTAGATCAGATTTATTGACTTTAATTATAATTTGGGCTTTGAATTTTGAATTAGAATTAGAATGCTTCTCTAATGAAAGTGAGCCCATTGAAATGTCAGAATCATCGTCACTACTACTTGCAGGTAAAAAGTTGGAATCTTGTAAATTTCCTTTAGCACAATAATATCGTGAATAACATATTAAACAAAAACTACAATTAAATAATTGACTGAAATCACAACAATATGCAAAATAAGTGTCATATTTTTCAAAAAATAGTTTTTGATTTATTTGAAAATCATAAGGATTGTAAACCCTACTATAAGTTTTAGTAGACTGAGTTTTATCATAAGTTGGTTTTTGGATATTATTACAATCACATAAATATTTGGCTGGGTTAGCAAAACAGAATAAACACCTTCGACATGAAAAACATGTTTCAATTTTATTAAATGAAAACATTTTGGTTTGGTTTGTTTTTTTCTTTTTTTTTTACATATTAGCAATTTATGATTATTAAATACAAATTTTATTATTAAAGTACATATTCATCTAAATATTATCACTACACTACTATTACTAGGCAGAATCATATAACAAAAGAAAACAGCAATTGTTACAGAACAGAATTACAGACAGAACTGTAACAAAAATTAGCTACTGTTACTGGACAGAGTCATATCCAAGCAACATTGACAATGTCTAATATTCTTGTCTATATAATTATTCTGTAGCAAGTAACATACATGGATAATGTTCAATAAAATTAGTAGTCATGGACATGTTATTGGCTATTGATAAGAAATCTAATTTCCCAACAAAAAATATCAACAATTTTCAATGTCTGTGTTCCCTGTGGTAAGTAATGTATATAGACAAATATTCAATAAAATTAGTAGACATAAACATGTAAATGGACAATATTCGATATTCAAGTATGTTATTGGCTATTGATAAGAAATCTAACTTCCCTGTATATTACAAAAAAAATTGATAATGTCCAATGTCTATGTTCCCTGTGGCAAGTAATATATATAGACAAACATTCAATAAAATTAGTAAACATGAATATCATGAACAATGTCTGATGTCTAAGTATGTTATTAACTATCTATAAGAAATCTAACTTCCTGACAACTTACTGTATATTACAAGAAATATTAACAATCTTCAATGTATATGTCTTCTGTAGCAAGTAATGTACATAGACAAACATTCAATTATATTTAATATAACTTACTATTTAAGTTGTTTTATTTATTGCAACCCAATGTATTATGTAAATATTGTATAAAAGTCTAATTTTTTATTTGATAAGCAAAAATTTACATTGTGATTATTAAAATTAAATATGATAGTCACTAAGACTTGTGTTGAACTAGCAGCAAAGGCAGAAGAAGAGGGAGAACAAATTTCTATTTTTTCCCTCTTATATAGCTATTTACTATAACCTCATACTATCCTCGTTCAATCATCCAAATCATACTCAACCCAAATGCATCATATTTACAAATTGCTTATCACTATTACTTAATCAATCTTATTGTACAATACAATTCATTTATAATCATTAATCCATTACAGCGCATTAGCAGACAATTTGTCACCAAATCTAAGTATTTGTTCTCCAAGTTAAACTTTAGTTACCAAATTATATATTAATCAATCAAAAAAATTTTTAAACACTTGATCTGTACTAATAACATGTTCAACTCATCTTTTCTATATGCTAACACATCTTCTCATTCTCCGACACATCCCATTAGGTATAAAAATTATTAAATAACATATTATAACTTGGAGAATATTGATTATCTCAGTTAAAATCTATATTTACATATTAGTAGTCAAATTTTTAAATTTTGGAGTATTTTACAAATGCACTATAATATCAAGTCAATATCTTTGGGTCCATGTCACTTGCCCTACAACAATTTGTCCGACAGCTATTTTTTAAATAATATTCTTAAAAATTTTACTAAAAAAATAGCTGTCAGACAAATTGTTGTAGGGCATATATAATACTTTCAAAATTTAAATTTATTTTATTTTTTTTCCCCTTTGATAACCTCGCAGTAAGTATTGTAATTACAAATATTTTAAACTTAAAATACATAATACTTTCAAAATTTAAATTTATTTATTTTTTTTTTCTTTGATAACCTCACACTAATTTATTAGAGTTTTTGTAATTTACAAAATTAACTATCTAATTTACATATTAGGCAAC